TCCATTTTTATAGTTTTTATTAATAATTTGTAATAATTTATTTGTAATAATTTATTGTTTTGGGAGTATTTTTTATGTATCTGTATTATATTATACATTAAAAGTGAATCTCTGTCCTAAAATGCACTCAGTTTACTTTTTACTCACTATGAGCATCATTCATTATTCTCCCCAGTAATTAAGGTTAGGATATGTATTTTTTCAATTCCAATCCATTCTTCTTTTGCAGCATTTAAATAACCTTGATCAGATTTGATGGTTTTGTTACAGACTTTTCAAAAAAGTGTTTTGCTTTTCTTTCACAAATGTGGGATTAAATTGTGTTAAAATGTACAAAACAGTGATGTCATGTTTTGTGACGAGGACCCAGGCACAGAGAGACTTGATGAATTTAAGAATCTTATATCAATAAAGAAATTTGCAGACTTGCACAGAGATGGTAAAATTATGATGACTGATAACGGAGACGAAGACAACAGACGATGAGGACAGGGAGGATGCAGGGGTTTAAATGCACCAAAGTGACAGTCAGAGAGAACTCGGGACAACATTTAAGGATGCAGGGACTGACAGAGACAGGTTTATCTTGCCTGGCTGGGCAGCTCTCTGGGTGCTCAGCACCCCCAAAGCTCTGATCCTAGAATCGCCCCTGAGCCTAATACTCAAGAAAGCAGGCAGATGAGTGTTTACAGAGCTTTCTTACTGAACTTATGCATAAGCTTGATTTATTATTGTCCATTTATACTGTATATATGCAGCAGGGCAGCACAGTCACTGTAACAAGACACTTCTTCAGATTAACGATCCTTGATAATTTAGCTCAAGAAATCTTTTGATCAAAGTCAAACGTCACAAAACCACAGCCTTTCATAGCCTTTAATACCCTTATCGCTCTCACTGACTTCCTGTGTCTTTGCTATCAGCTCTGTTCTCACTAGGGATGGGTATTGATAAGATTTTCACGATTCCGATTCCATTTTCGATTCTGTTTAACGATTCGATTCTTTATCGATTCTCTTAT